TGCTGTGTAGGTGGTCATCCTGCATTATACTCTAATCATATCTACACAGGGCTTCTTAAACTTTTCCCACTCCCTACCCACAGTTTAATGCATTGTAAATAACTACATGACCTGCTTCTGAGGAGACTTTGACCTTCCACTTGGGTTTGGCTATTATTTTCCATTATGATTTTCTTCTTGGGATCAAAAAGAATAATTGTCAAATGAGACCATCTGCTTTATCCTTAGAAATAATGAGTAATTTCAGGTTTTATATGCAGGAATCCTCATCAGGTTTTTGCTTTTTATCCACCTACAGTCTGTATGCTATGTTGTGTTTGAAAGAGCCCAGGCTTTGGTGTCAGAAGATCTGGGTTTGAGTTCCTGGCTACAGGCAAATCACTTAATCTCTATAGGCCTCAGTTTTCTCACCTATAAAAGGGGATAATAATACTTATCCTCCTTACCAAACAGAATAGTTGTAAGGAAAATGGTTTGTGAAATGTTAAATGTTCTAGAAATGTGAGGTGTTCTTGTTTTTTTTAATTGCTATTATTAATAATAAGTGACTTTTCACTATAGGCTGTAGGCAGCCTATATACTTCCATGCATAGATACTAACTTCCTAAAGTTTCACAAGGCTTAATCTCTTGCCCTTTTTAGATTTTGAGCTCTTGAATGAAATCTCTGTTTCCTGTTTCTAGCCCTTCTTACCCTTTGCAATGTCTTAGTGGGATCAAGTATGTTGAATACTTTATAATCCACAAAAAAAAAAAAGGTTAATACAAGAAATTTACATCCAGTTTCAGAGAAAAGGAGAAGAGAGATAAGATTATTAGGGGTATCATATACCTAAACCTATAAGGCATAATTTCTAATGTCTCCTATCTAGAGAAGAGGAGGAAAGCAGGGTAGAGGCAGTTCATCCTGGGTCTGTGACTAGTACAGCAGGACAGCCCTGTCACCATTTGCCAAATCAATCCAGTAAACAAATTTCACGGGTTCAACATGGCAAGACATTCCTGGTTCAAATCTCAGTCCCTGACACTTGCTGCCTGTGTGACCTAGGGCAAGTCGCTTGACCTCTCCCTGCCTCAGTTTCCTCAACTGTAAAATGGGGAATAATAATAATAATAATAATAACAGTTACCCTATAAACTATAAATGCAAAATGGGGATAATTATAATAACCCTACCTACTGGGGTTGTTGTGAAGATAAAATAAGATTATATTTGTAAAGTGTTTAGTACAGTCCTTGGTGCATAGTGGGTGCTTTTAAAAGGCTTGTTTCCTTTCTTCTTTCTAGTAAAAAAACATCATTATTTAGTGGGGTTTGGGGTTGGGGAGGGGCGTGGAGAATGCAGCAGGATAAGAGTTAAAAACTGGGGGCAGCTAGGTGGTGCAGAGGATAGAGCACAGGACCTGGAGTCAGGAGGACCTGAGTTCAAATCCGGCCTCAGACACATAACACTTACTAGCTGTGTAACCCCAGGCAAATCACTTAACCCCGATTGCCAAAGCAAAAAAAAAGAAAAAGTTAAAAACTGCAGTGGCATTTGAGTGTGGCTTTTAAGGATGGGGAGGAATTCAGTAAGGGGCAAGATACAGTGATTTAAGTGTAGGGAACAGAGTGATCAAAAGTAATGAGGCAGAAAAGCCTAGGTTATATGGAGGATGTTCCAAGGTGTCTGGTCTGGCTTCACACTGAATTCACTGGAGGTTTGTATTTTGAGATAAGGCTAGACCTCAAGGCCCTGAATGCAGAGCCAAGGAGTTTGGACTTCATCCAGCAGCAAAGTATCTATTTCTTTAAGCAAAGTATGTGCAGTTATTCCTTCCACATCACGGGGGTTGGGGTACAGCACTCTTGCGATCTGGAAAAACCACATAAAATTTTTTGGCTCTCTCTTCATACGAGAGAAAAAGTCTTGACTTTTTTCTTTTTCTTTTATGGGGTGTTTTACAGTACCTTATAGTAAAATATGGGTTAAGTATTTGGTCATAAGGTCTGTGTCATCTTGTGGCCTTCACAGGTCATCTGTGGCTTCTGCAAATCTCCCCCAAAATTCCTATTTAATTTCTTATGCAGACCTGAGATATAGTGAAACCATGATGGGAAAAGTCGTCATGTGGAAGGGATAGTTGTCCTAGGCTTAAAGCACTAGACCTGTGCAGGGGATGCGCTCCTGCCCCTCCCCTTCTGCACCCTCCTCCTCCGGGAAGATCATTCTGTCCCATGGGTTAGTTCCACCTGTAACCTTTCTTTTATGGAAGTGCCCATGCCAGCCATGTTTCCTCCTTTACTCCTCCCTTCCACCTCTTTTCATCCCTTTCCTGTGTTGTCTTTCTCCTCCAAAATGTAAGCTCCTTAAAGACAAGGACTTCTCCCTCTTCTGTTTGTATCCCTAGTTCTTAACACGCTGTCTGGCATGCAGTCGGTACTTAATAAATGCTTATTGACTACAATGGAAGCACTAAGAAGAGGAAGGGAAGAGGCAACACCTAACACTTTTTGCCACTCCATGGATTTTTCTTGGCTATAAGAGGAAATAATTGCTCATGATTCTTCATCCGCATCCTAAACATTCCTCTTTTCCAGGAAGGAAGGATAAGCATTTATTAAGTTCCTACTATGGGCCAAGCACCATGCTTTACAAATATCATCTTATTTGATCCTCACAACAACCCTGCAACATAGGTGCCATTATAATCCCAATTTTACTTTAGAGGAAACTGAGGCAAACAGAGGTGAAGTGACGTATCCAGGGTCATATACCCAGGAAGGGACTGAGGTCAGACTTGAACTCAGTTCTTCCTGACTCCAGGCCTAGCACTCTGTCCACTTTGCCACCTAGCTGCCTAAGGTTGGGAATATGATACTCCAAGTATAGTACTGGATTTGGAGTTGAAGGGCTTGGGTTCATACTCCAGCTCTGCTACTCTGTGATATTGGGCAGATTCCTTAATCTCTCTGCACCTCAGTTCTTCACCGGCAAAATGAGGGGCATGGAGTAGAAGGCCCCCGAGGCCCCTTCTTGCTTTATTGCCGTGATCCTCTGACTAAGGTATCCCTCTAAGGTGGATATAAAAAGATATCGTCCGCCATTGCTCTCCCACATGTCTCTACTTCTCCTGTCCCCAGCAGTGGCCTTATTTATTCACTGGCAATATGTGGTCCTCACAGAAGACAGGGGAATTGACCCATAACCTGTTATTCATCCCTGTTATTCCTGGGGGAAAAAAAGGAAAGTAAATTTTATCTTGGGTACAGTACAGTATCTGTGACTAATGAAATGACTGAATTGGGCTCCATTTGATTTCCAAATGCCCCAACTGCATGAAAGATAAATATGTTCAATTTGGTGGTGGGAGTCAGGGAGTGGAAGCAGGTCCTTTTTCCTCTTGCAATTAAGGGCCTTTTGGCAAGAAAAGAAATGGAGTTTCCTTTTTTGTTTCACATCTAACAGCCTTTCTCTACATGGACTGCTTGATCAGTCAAGTATAATTCCCGATTAAGAGTGGAGGCCAATTTTACCAGGGGTGGTGATTACTTTGAAAAATATTAACAGTGGCCTAGGAAAACAGTGGAGAATGTCAACGGGGTGCTATGTGTGGTAGGTATAGGACGAAGGCAGAGTTTCTTTGTGCTGGAAATGGAAATGTGCACTCTCCAAACACTCCAAACAAATTGGAACCTTGAATAATTCAGTGCCTTAGGCCCTCTTGTCCTTGGGCTTCCACTGCAGTGTCTGTGGATGGATTAAATCTATAGAATGATGATAAGAATTAGAAGGGAAAATGGGAAGCAGCCAGAATGAAACCTTGTTCACTAGGGAGAAGGCTGATCAGAAGTAGTCAGATGTCTGAATTACAAAAAAGAGAAAATCAACAGTTTTATGACTTTCAAGGGTAATGAGGTATTGGGAGGTAAAATTGGGATTATAATGGCACATATGTCCCAGGGTCATTGTGAGGATCCAATAAGATGGTGTTTGTAAAGCATGGTACTTGGCCCATAGTAGTAGAAAATGCAGTGGGACTGCTAGGCGACCTTGGTTCTAGGTTTGGCCTTGTGAGCAGGTCAAATTCTTGCCATAGTCACTAAATAACTCTAGGTCTCAATTTCCTCATTTCTAAAATGAGGGGGTTGCCGTATTCTTGTTTTAACAAACTGATGGACAAGGATGATGATTTGCAATTACTGTATTCAAACAGGCAATCAACAAGCCCTTTTAAAATTCTATTTTATTTTATTTTCAATTATTTATATTATTTCCAAAATCTCCCCATTTTCCTCCACACATTAAGAAGGCAAGAAAAACAAAGCCCTTTTATATATATGTATATAATATATATATATATACACACAAATATATGTGTCTGTCTGTCTCTCTGTCTTCTATCTATGTGTGTGTGTGTATAGTCAAGCAAAACAAACTCCTGCATCAGCCAAATATAAATCATAGCTTATCCTCTTGTATAGGTTGACCATTTCACATTTCTTCTTTATATGGTATATTTGCTTAGAAACTCCTTCTCATTTAAAAAAATGCAAGCGAGAAACACGGCTTAGAAAATAACATGCTGAATTTGTATCCTTGGAGGAGCAAGCAGTCTTTCTGTGGAGTAGATTCATAACGTATGTGAGCCATCTCCTTTCTCTCTTTGTATATGAACATGCTCACCTTATTTGGTGTTTGGGAAATTTTTTTTAAGGAAATGAAATTTTTAAAAAGGAAAGCTCATAGATAGGAAAAGAAATTTTTGTCCCTGCCCAATTATCACAAATATATAATACTAATGAGATAATTATTTTTTAAACTGCATTTCAAGGTAGGATTAATAAAAGGAGGGAGGGGGATTAAAGTGGCCTTGTTTTTTGTCCTAAATTCACCTGACCTGTTCACAAGGGTGGGGAAGAATATTGGTGTGTTTTTTTTGTTTTTGTTTTTTTGTTTTGTTTTTTTTTTGCCTAGTCTGAGGTATCTGTTTTATTTTGTTTTTTCTTCTTTTTCTACAGGAATTCTTACTCTAAAGAGAGCAAATGAACTCTTGAGTACAGAAGTCCCTGGAAGTTTTCTGATCCGAGTCAGTGAAAAGATAAAAGGCTATGCTCTGTCTTACCTCTCAAAGGATGGCACTAAACATTTCCTAATCGATGCCTCCACTGACTCCTACAGCTTCCTGGGGGTGGACCAACTCCAGCATTCCACTCTGGCAGATTTGGTCGCATATCACAGGGTAAATCTTTATATATATATACATATTTTAAATATATATATGCTTCCTTTCAAAATAATTGTTCAAGGCAATTCGGTGGACATTTATTAAACACCTGTGTGCAAGGTGATATGTTAGGTAATAGAAATATAAAGATAAGGTTGAAACTGTCCCTGCTCACAAGAATACAGATAGGATGCCACATGAACAGAGATAAGCAGATATCAAATATGTGCAGAGTAAGTAATTTCCCCTGGCAGAGAGCTCTAATAGCTGAAATTCACAGCAAAGACTTCATGGAGGAGGAGGCATCTGACTTTTGCTTTGAAGGATGCTGGGTGGTGGGGGGCAGTTTAGAGGGGCAGCTAGATGGTGTAGTAGGTAGAGTACCAGGCCTGAAGTAAGTAAGACTCATCTTCTTAAGTCTAAATCTGGCTTCAGACACTTACTAGCTGTCTGACCCTGGGTAGGTCAATTAACTCAGTTTACCTCAGTTTCCTCATCTGTAAAATGAGCATACCATCTTTGCCAAGAAAACCCTAAATGAGGTCACGAAGAATGCGACACAACTGATATGACTAAACAACAACAACAAAGAGGTTCTAGAAGCGGAAATGAGGAAGAACCCCCCCCCCCCAGAAATGGGGAACAGCAAAGGCCAGAGACATATGGGCAGGAGATGGAATGTCATACAAGACGAACAACTGAGAGGCCAGTTTGATTAGAATGGAGAGTGTGTGAAAGACACTTGATATGAAATGACTGGAAAGGTAGGTGGGAGCCAGATGCCAAGCAGTGCAATATGTACTTTCTCTTAGAAGCAATAAGAAGAGTTTTGGGAAGAGGAATGACGTGGTCAGAATCATATTTTGAGTATTCTGCATTTGGCGAGTGTGAATGAAAGAATGTTCTTCCTTTATCCTGTCCTTTTTTCCTTCTTTCCCAGAATACCCTGCTGGGGGCAAAGGGCAGAGGAAACATAAAAGGAGTGGTCTTGTACCAAATAGGAATAGAGTAGTGACCAACCACTGAGGACAGAGTCTTTAAAAAGAGAGTGCTGAGTGCGAAAGCTGAGGGATTTTCACTTCGAGGGACTATCTGTCTATCTGTCTATCTATCTATCTATCTCATACATACATACATACACACACACACATGTATGTGTATATATAAACTGTGTTATATATGTATGAGAATTGTGGGAGGGACAAATGGAAACTGAAATCCTTCTGGGGACATCACCTTATGCATGTACCATGAATGCCCTGCTCACACAATGTAATCACTCAGATGGTTGGTTTTCAGTCCAGGGTGCAAGGATGTACACATGCATGCACACACACACACACACACACATACACACATGTGCACACCCCCCCAACACACACACATAGCTGAATATTGTGCTTCTGTTTACAGGAAGAGCCCATCACCTCCTTGGGGAAAGAGCTGCTGCTCTACCCCTGTGGTCAGCAGCAGCACCCACCAGATTACCTGGATCTCTTTGAGTGACACCATCAATAAGTTTTTGTTCTGCAACCTGTAGCTGAGCCTTTCTCAGGAGGAATGCTGCTAAAACTCAGAACATGGTATTTCTTCACTGCAGAAATGACCCCGATGTGGCTAGAAGAATCTCTACTCAGCTCAAACTCTGAAGACTGATGTCAATGGGGACGTCCTTTTCTGTTATTTATGTTCTCAGTTATGTTCTCAAAGGGAAGCCAGATGATTTCCCAAGTTCAGTAAAGCAGCTGCACGTTGAGAGAGCAGCTTTACTGGACCACATGAAGGAAAACATAAAGGACTTAAAGCCTTGGGGGAAATAAGATGTCTTTCTAAAACCAAAATGATTACATGATACAACTCTTCTTTGCATGAGCTCTGAAGGCTTCAGGGTTCTACACTGTTGCCTACTAGAATTCAAATTGCTTTAAAAAATAATTTAAAAAAGGCAGGCAGTGTAGTACTGTGGATGGCAGGCTGGGCTTGTACTCGGAAAGGGCTGGGTTTAAATCCTGCCTTTGACACATACGAGCTCAGTGGCCATGGACCAGTGAGCCACTTCTCAGGGTCCGGGCAACTGTAAGACCACATGAGTTGTCCCTCCGTATCCCTGGAGAGAGTTTTCATACCAGAAGTTTCCTAGCTAATTGAAATCACAGGTCCTGACCAAAAAAAGGGGAGGGAGGGAGGGGAAGGAGAGTTGAGGTGAAAACTCACTTCAGTTATTATGCTCTTTGGAAACATGTAGGAAAGAGGAATAGAAATACTTCAGAAGTCTAAAGACAGAAATTTAAACAATGTTGGAACGATTCACCTCATTTGTAAATTTGCATGAATTCCAGGCAAATCACTTAAAGTCTCTGAGCCTCAGCTTTCCCTTCTTCAAAATGGAAATAAAAACAAACACCTGCCCTGTCTACCTCACAGGGTTTCTGTAAGGATCAAA